GTGATTTTTCCTTTCTCATTTCTGATTCTGTTTATGTGTGTAGATTCTCGTTTTTTCTTTATAAGGCTGGCCAGGGGGTTATCTATTTTGTTTATTTTCTCAAAGAGCCAGCTCTAAGTGTCATTAATTCCTTCTATTTTATTCTTCTCAATTTTATTTATTTCTTCTCTGATCTTTATTATGTCCCTCCTTCTACTGACTTTTGGAACTTATTTGTTCTTCTTTTTTGAGTTTCAATAATTGTGAATGTAGACCGTTCATTTGGGATTGTTCTTCCTTCTTTAAATAGGTCTGAATTGCTATATACTTTCCTTTTAGACCTGCCTTTGCTGCATCCCGCAGAAGTTGGGGCATTGAGCTGTTGTTTTCATTTGTCTTCATATATTGCTTGATCTCTGTTTTAATTTTGTTATTGATCCATTGGTTATTTAGGAGCATGTTCTTAAGCCTCCATGTGTTTGTGAGCCTTTATGTTTTATTTGTACAATTTATTTCTATTTTCATACCTTTGTGATATGAGAAATTGGTTCGGTACAATTTCAATCTTTTTGAATTTTCTGAGGCTCTTTTTGTGACCTAGTATGTGGTCTATTCTGGAAAATGTTCCATGTGCACTTGAGAAGAATCTGTATCCTCCTGCTTTGGGGTGGAGTTTTTGGTAGATGTCTCTTAGATCCATCTGTTCTAGTGTTGTTCAGTGCCTCTGTGTCCTTACTTATTTTCTGTCTGGTGGATCTGTCCTTTGGAGTAAGTGGTGTGTTGGAGTTTCCTAAAATGAATTCATTGCATTCTATTTCCCCCTTTAATTCTGTTAATATTTGTTGTACATATTTGGATGCTATGTCAAGTGCATAGATATTTATAATGGTTATATCTTCTTTTTGAACTGACCCCTTCATCATTATGTACTGTTCTTCTTTGTCTCTTGTTACTTTCTTTGTTTTGAAGTCTTATTTTATTTGATGCAAGTATTGCAACTCCTGCTTTTTTCTCCCTCTTGTTTGCATGAAATATCTTTTTCCATCCCTTCACTTTTAGTCTGTGTATGTTGGGTTTGAAGTGAGTCTATTGTAGGCAGCATATAGATGTGTCTTGCTTTTTTATCCATTCTGTAATTCTATGTCTTTTGATTGTTGCATTCAGTCCATTTACATTTAGGTGATTATTGATAAATATGTACTTATTGCCATTGCAGGCTTTAGATTCATGGTTACCAAAAGTTCAAGGGCAGGTTCTTTACTATCTAGCAGTCTACCTTAACTCACTTATTGTGCTATTTTAAACACAATCTGAAGATTCTTTTCTTCCCCCCCTTCTTTTTCTTCCTCCTCCACTCTTTATATGTTAGGTGTCATGTTCTGTACTCTTTATGTATCCCTTGACTGACTTTGTGGGTAACTGATTTAATTTAGCATTTGGTTAGTATTTAATTGGTCTACTTTGTTTGCTGTGGTTTTATTTTCTCTGGTGATAGCTATTTAGTCATAGGTGCACTTTCGTCTAGAGCAGTCCCTTTAAAATATCCTGTAGAGACAGTTTGTGGGAGGTAAATTCCCTCAACTTTTGCTTATTTGGGAATTGTTTAATCCGTCCTTCAAATTTAAATGATAATCTTGCTGGATACAGTATTCTTGGTTCAAGGCCCTTCTGTTTCATTGCATTAAGTATATGGTGCCATTCTCTTCTGGCCTGTAGGGTTTCTGTTGAGAAGTCTAATGATAGCCTAATGGGTTTTCCTTTGTAGGTGACCTTTTTCCTTTCTCTGGCTACTTTTAATACTCTGTCCTTGTCCTTTATCTTTGCCATTTTAATTATTATATGTCTTGGTGTTGTCCTCCTTGGGTCCCTTATGTTGGGAGATCTTGCCCAGATTGGGGAGTTTTTCAGCAATTATTTCTTCAAAGACACTTTCTATCCCTTTTATTCTCTCTTCTTCTGGTGCCCCTATAATGCATATATTGTTCTGTTTGGATTGGTCACCGAGTTCTCTCAATATTCTTTCATTCCTAGAGGTCCTTTTTTCTCCCTCTGCCTCAGCTTCTCTGTATTCCTGTTCTCTAATTTCTATTCCATTTACTGTCTCCTCTACATCATCTAATCTGCTTTAAAATCCCTCCATTGTTTGTTTCATTTCAGTCATCTCCCTCCTGAATTCATCCCTTAGCTCTTGAATATTTTTCTGTAGCTCCATTAGCATGCTTGTGACTTTTATTTCGAATTGTTTTTCAGGAAGATTGATTATTTCAGTCTCACTGAGCCCTCTTTCTGGTGTTTGAGGAATTATGGATTAAACAAAGTTCTCCTGCCTTTTCATTGCCCTGGAGTGATGGGAGGGGTCGCAAGCAAGTGGCATGGGTGTCATCTGGGAGGACAAAGTCCTTTCTTGATTCCTGGCACTGTGCCTGTCTCCGCTGTCTGTGCCAGTTAACTGTGCCCAGGGATCAGCCTCTGGGTTGATCCCCTAAGCTGCTGTGGGCGGGACAGCCCTCAGGATGGCCTAGGGGGATGGTAGGGGCATAGCCAGGAGCGGTGCAGGCATCTGCTGCAAGGACAAAGCCCTTTTTTGCTTCCCAGTCACCATGTCTGTCTCCACTGTCTGTGCTGGTTAACCGTGCATAGGGAGCAGCCTTTCAGTGATCCCCTAAGCTGCCATGGGCAGGGCAGCCCTCGGGATGGCTTAGGGCAATGGCGGGGGGTTGCAGGCGAGCAGTGCATGTGTCTGCCACAAGGACAAAACCCTTTCGTGCTTCCCTGTCACCATGTCCGTCCCTGGTGTCTGAGCTGGTTAGCTGCATGCCAGGAGTAGCCTCTGTGTTAATCCCCTAAGCTGCACTGGGCGGTTGGCTCTTGGGATGGCCTAGGGTGATGGAGGGGCTTGCAGCCTAGTGGCATAGTTGTTTGCAGGAAGGGCAAAGCCCTTTCATGCTTCCCAGTCATGGTGCCTGTCTCTGGTGTCTGAGCTGGTTAGCCACACGCAGCGAGAAGCCTGTGCATTAAGCTGTGTAGTTGCTGTAGGTGGGACTGCCTTCTGGCAGGTTTGTAAGCAGGTATGGTGGGGAGGAAGGAGTGGCAGCCTGCATAGCTTGTGAGGGACCTCGGGTCTGCATTGCCAACCAGGGGGATGGAGCATCTGAAGCTCCTGAAAGTTCCCAACCTGCTAGGCTGAATGTGCCCAGCTGATTTTGTCCTTTTCCTAAATCCTTGCCCCTTTAGCAGCCCTCTGACTGTTGAGAGGTCCCTTAAAGTGCTTGCTTTTCTTTTGTGCCAGGGCAGCTGCTTGTGGGAACCTGTTCGCAGTCTTAGTCTCAGACTTTGCCTTTCAGCCCCTCTCATCTCCACAGCACCACGCTATGTGTGTCTGTGCTCCTGGGGTAGATTTCTAGGGCTGGGTAGTTAACAGTTCTGTGCTTCCTCTCCCTCCCTGCTCTGATTCTTTTCCTCCTGCTGGTGAGCTGGGGTGGGGAGAGTGCTTGGTCCTGCTGGGTCACGGCTTTGTACTTTACCCTTTCCCTGAGATGTTCACTTCTCCCAGATGTACACAGGTTGGTGCACTCTTACTTCTGGTCACCCTTTTAGGAATAATTGTACTTGCTGTATTTTCAAAATATGTGTGGTTTTGGGAGGAGACTTCTGCCATTCTTCTCATGCCACCATCTTTTTTTCCCCACACTGATTGTTTTAAATCAGTGATTATTTTAAATGTATTAATTACAGAAACCAGCAAATTAATTTTTTTGAAAATCCACTATTATGAAGGCATTCAAATAATCCAGATAAGAGATGTTTCCATGATTTTGTGAAAATAAAGGAACCCTCATTTCAAATGGAGCCGGGAAGCCCTGCAGGGGGCGCCCTCCTGCACGTGCCCCTCCCTGCAGCCTGCATAACCAGCGGAAAGGAGAAAAAGAGTTATTTCAACAAGAGGGTACTTTTCATAAAGGAATTTGTCTTCCGCCTTTGAGGAAAGGCAGGAAGAGCCCTGCCCTGTAACAGCCACCTCCTGCAGCCAGTGAGAAACTCCCACCATCTCAAACCTCTCCGATTTCCTCCTAAAACCTCATAAAAGCTGATCTTCCCTTTGTCTCTCTGGATTTCCTAAGGTTCACCATAGTTTGCTTGATCTGAATTGCAATTACTGTGCTATTCCCAAATAAATTCATTTTTTATTACTTAAATAAAATTTCTCTTTGCCGTGTTTAAAGTTAACACTGCCATAGGTACAATCAATATGCCCACTTTTTCTTAGGAGGCTTTGGTTTGGGTTCCTCCAATTACTAGGCTTGCTTAGGTGGTTCCTGTCACTAGTTGTCCAAGAACACAAATCACAGCCATCACAGGAAGATCCTCTGTCCTTTTTAGGAAAAAGCAGTATCTATTAGTAAAATTATAAGTTTTACAAAGTCCCAAGTAGAATATGAAGCTTATTCTATTTTTTGCCACCTGAATTCTCACTGGGTTCTCTGGCACACAGGAGGCCGCCATCCATAGGCCCAGGAGTTCCCTGGGTTCTTTGATCTGTAACCTAAGCCTTTATCAAGCGTATCCATGCTCTGCAAAGTTTGCTTCTCACAGAAGTCGCCTGAAAACAAGAAGCATGGTTCTGCTCCCTGTGACACTCGTTTTGTCCACACTGGGGTTTTCAAGTGCCTGACTTACTGAGAGAACCTACATAGATAATAAGGAGAGGAACAGAGTGAAAGGGTCCCATTCCCTGACCCCTGTGCCCAGGCGGTGTGCCCTGTCTCTGGGGATCATTTCAAGTTCAGTATGTGGAACAACTGAGCAGAAATAAAGGAGGGCAGGGATTCAGTTGTTCTCTAGTGGTGGGTAATGAAGAGCAACGTTGCTGGGGTTTGGTGGCAAATGAAAACATGAAACTCTCCAGCCAAAATCTTAAAGTTAACTCAGGCAAGGGTGTCTAAAGGGAAAAATGAGGCACATTTCAATGATTACAGTTATCGCACAGGCAAAAGTCAATTATTTATCTTACTTTTTTTCAGTAATCCTCTTACTCCTGTGCTTGGTTCCTCACGGGGCCCTGGTCATGTCTCAGGCCCAGTGAGAGGGCAGTTCGGTGGTAACTTGGGCCAGATAATAAAGAGAGAAAAGGTTGGCATTTTGAGTTTTTCTACTTTTCTTTTTAGTAACTATAAAGAGCAACTGTACTTAAAGAACAAATTACTTCAAAGTCTATGATATTAGACCACAGCTGCCTGTATTTTTAGAAAGCACTCATGTTGCCTGTCTTCTTATAACATGTATTATTTACCTGCAGTATATAACAAAAAATTAGTAGTTTCAAAGAACATACTTTGCCTTCTAAATATGCCTTTATCTTCTATAATGTAGCTGATTTTTATTAACAGCATGTTATTAATTTATTAATAATTTTGCTCTTGGACCTCTAAAAAAAAAGATCAAAGGAAATAAAATAGGATATTTTCTCTCGTCCACATTTTGGTTATAAATAATTCCCATATTACCTCTCAGTCTAAAATATAACATGTTTCCTTCACTCTCAACAGCTTTACAATGGAGCAGTGAAGATACTCAAATCACGTTTATTATAAAAATAAAATGTAAATTTTTAGAAAAAAATTAAAAATGCATTTTGTTATTAGGATAGATATGGTATTTAAGATGGAATTTGGGGAAATTCTGAAAGATTCCCTTTCCTTATACTGGATGACCTGATGAGGACAGTGAATGAAGGAAGGATTAAATGCCCTGCATTCTGTTCTGGCCTGTGATTCTGCTTGGGTGCAGAACCCACAATGGATCTTTGCTTGTTACTTTAATCCTGACTCTTCACAGCTTACTTCTTTCCTCCAGTGAAAGTGTTATAACAGGCTCCACAAAGCCATTTGAAATGGTAGTTTAGAACAACCCACATTAACACCTCTACTCCTAGGAAAATGCACTGTAACCAAGTCTGGACTAAAATTTGTACAGTTGAACACCTGTCTCCCATATGGCACAATGCAAAATTGTTCAACAAATGGGCCCCTGGCAGTTAGGTAAAAGATACTGTTATTAAAAAATCTCTTATATATATTTATTTTGCCACAAAGCTTCCTGGAGATTTCATTAAAAAGTGACATCATGGAAGTATTAAATACCATTGTATAACAAGTAGAAAGAGCATATGGGGTAGTGTTTCTTATACTGTCAGAAAGGATATCACCCACGTAAGACTAAAAGTGACTGTAAAATCATCAATTTTATAACTGAAATGGACAAGAGAGATTCCCATTTGATAAGGTTTGCTGAGGAAAGGGGCTTGACTGGCTTTTCAGTTGCCAGCACAAGGATAGCAAAAACATCCATTATGAGACCCACCCAGAGAAATGCAGCGGTAAGAGGAGAATCTTGGACAACACATGCTCCTATGGAAGCCACATGGACAGTCAGCTGAAACTGAAGGCATCTGGAGATGCCCTCGCGAGCATGCCTACCCCATCCCCTGCGTTGACAGTGCTCTTGAGGTGGTCATTGGTAAGAATGTTGGAGGCTTTTTTTTACCTTCATCTGTTCCTGTTAGTACCATTGTAAGTCCCCCATGGGCTGCCTTTAACACCGGGCCATCCATCATTACTAGCATCACTCTCAGTGACTGTTACCGTTTGCCTCTGTCCCAAAACATCACTCTTGTTTTACCTTTTACTAGGTTGTATTATCAGTAGGACTAGATCTTGCAAGTACACGGCGTTATGGCCAAGCCCTATTAATGAGCCTTTTTTTTTCTCTGTTTTTATTATTATGTATGAGTTCATTGAAATCTGTTTCCTCTAAACATAGACAACCCTCAGGGGCCTTTTGGTGCTACATTTCAAGGCAACAAATGGCTCTCACAGTATGGAAGTTATCACCAGTAATCATACACACAAGTGATCCTGGCATGCTGGCATTTACTTCTTTTGGGTACCTCAAGCATGTGGGTTAAATTGTGCCTCCCAAAGAGGTATGTTCAGGCCTCACTCCAGTACATGTGAAGATGACCTTATTTGGAAATATGGTCTTTGCAGTTGTAACTAAGATGGGGTCATACTATATAAGGTGGGCCCTAGTCCAGCAACTAGTCCTTATCAGAAGAGGGAAGCACGGACACAGACACATAGGGGAAGATGAGGCAGAGAGTGGATGAGGGGCCGCAAGCTAAGCACACCAAGAGTTGCCAGAAGAGGCAAGGACAGTTCTTCCTTGGAGCCTCAGAGAAAGCGTGGCCCTGACCTTGGGCCTCTAACCGGCCTTCAGAACTGTGAGAGCAAGGATTTGTTGTTTTAAGCCGCCCGTTGGTGGGAGTTTGTCAGAGCCGCTACAGGACGCTTCGGCGTGGGCCCACCAGGAAAGGCTCCAGGGAGCTTTAGTATCTCAGCAGGCTGGCCGGTCAGGTTGGCTCGGTATCTGGAGAATTTCCAAATGTCAGGCATAGGAACCTAAGCCTTTGGGAAACATCTGCACTTGCTTTTGCCAGCTCCATAGGTATTCCCTCTTCATCCAGGATGTGACACCAGTCGTTAGTAGTGTTCTGGGTCCCTTGGTGAACAACTGAAACCCCCCATCAGGCAGCTTTAAGACAGTAGCCATGGATTTCCTGAGTTGAAGGTATGGACTTTCTGTAAAAACTATTTTATACTGTACTGTTTCCTTCTGGCTTTTTCTCACCACCTATTTTTAAATGCAGATGTCCTCACAAAGCATGTTTTATTTTATTGCCAGTCTGTTGTGGTGGAGCACGGGCATCTAAATGAACCGTGGGAATAAGAACAATTAACAATACACAGTATGTATTCAAAGGCATTCCAAATGGGTCTGGAAGGGACTGAAGTGTGGAGGTTCCGTTCTGTCTCCAGACGTGAGCCGGCGTACCATGCTGCTAATCATCAACGTCCTTGTTTTATCTGAGCAAGTGATGGCTGCGTTCCCGATAGCTTCTCATGCATCCAAATGACTCACCAAGTTATTAGCTGTTACTATTTTCTTTACAGAATAAGCCAAGGAAAGAGACACTGCAAATGAAGGCTTCCAGAGACAGCCGCTACAACACTGTCCCACGGACAATGGAAACCTGAACGGTGTCTCCCCTACCAACTGCAGTACCAGCTGAAGTCACCTGTGCCCCCAGTTGCAGAAGCGTACCCGAAATTTGTCACGGAGAGGGTGCGCACCGCCACGAGCAACCACACCGCCGCCCGGGCTGTGGGGCTCTAGGTGCCCCTTGGCCCTGGAGATGCCCCAGTCCGCCGCATCTGCTGGCCTCTCAGTCCCTACGGGCACCCGTTTGCCTGGGGTTCCCTGCAAGTGCCCGCTCGGCCATAGGCAGCGGGGTGTGGTCGCCGACCGCGCGTTTTCGGCAGCTTGGCCACTGCCCTCGGGGGCTGTGCCGGCCGTCCTCGGGCTCGGAGGGCCCCGCCGCGCCCCGCCCCGGCTCCGGGACCGGCTGCGCGGACGGGGCTCTGCGGCGGGGTCCCGGCACACAGCCTGCAGAGCGGCCCGGCCCGGGCCCGCCCCGCGCGGGGGCCCTGGTGTCCCTTCCCGCTCCCGCGGCCCACGGGCCCGCCCTGGCCCTCTGCCTGCGCCGCTGAGCACGCACGGAACTCGGGAGTGCCCTGGCGAGAGCCCAGTGCCCCCGCCCCGTCGGTCCTACTCCCGCCGCAGCGGCTGGCTCTCCGGTTGCCCCGAAGAACCGGGGTGGAAAGCCGATGGGGGCCAGCAGGGTATTCGCTCGGAGCTTGCTGTCCTCGGAGCCAGCCACTGCCTCACCTGGACACAGGCTCAGAGGCCGGCGGGGAGGAGGAAAGTTTCCCGGCGGCAAACGGGGCCCCAGGCAGACCCTCACTGCAGGCCGTGGGACCGAAACGAGGCAAGGTCCTGGGTGTGGGGAGGTGTGCTGGCTCTTCCTGTTTGGTCCCGAGTTGGAAGCATGGAGGGCAGCAGGGCAAACCCAAGGAAGGCTTGCACCTGCAGATCGGCTCTTGAGCCTTCAGGTGTGGTGGCGACGGAGCTGGCGCACCAGAGCTCTGTTCTGGTGGGTCTGGCCCCCACCCCTGTACCTCGTCTCCCAGCAGCCACCCCCTCTGCTCCCTCCACCATGTCCGCCTTCCCAAGTGAACGCTGTCCTCGGGACTCTCAACAGGCTCTACCATGCAAGGTGCTGTGGTTTAGCATTTTTCCAGCTTTAGGTGGTAGAACTGGATCTAGTACCCAGAGTCCGTGCGCAGGGCTGCGTCTAGGCCGTCAGTTCCCTAAGGCACATGGGTAGCAGGTTCCTTGGTTTTAAAATTGTGAAACCAGCCCTACCAGCCTTAGTTCTCTGACAGCACAGACAGACAATAGTTACAGAGAGCCATGTGCTGTCTATATAGGTTGTATTCTCATGAATAGTAACTAAACATCTGAGAATACACCACCCAGAGGCTCTGTGGTACACATGAGGACGAGGTGGGGTGTGCTGGACACTCGGTGGCCACAAATCGCATTAGTTCAGTCTCTGTGCTCACAGAGCCTCCCAAATTCATTTCTGTTATCGCTTTTTTCTGGGCCTGACTGTTCACCACAGTGTAAGTGGTGCCATAGTTCACCACCATGCTATGTATGCCCTGATCCCCAGAGCTTTTGAGCATCTTGCAAAGTCTTCCACCAGTGAAGAGTGGTGGTTCGCCTCCTCTCTGCTCTCTCTGCCTCTGTTCAACAGCAACTGAACTGCTGAGGGTGATTCACTGGAATCTACTCAGTTTGTTCTGTCAGCTGTTTATTAATCTGTAACTTCCTGTTGAGATGCAGGGTGTGCTTTTTAAAGAAACCTTACACAGCATAAGTTTTATTTTGGACTGGACTTACTCATGTATAAAGAGGATCTGTGAGAGTTACTTAATCCCATGAGTGATTTTCTTTCAGCAGAATTTGGTGGGCACTCACTGTGTGACAGGTGCTCTCCAGTGCCCTGGCGGTGCGGGGATGGGTGAGACAGTTCTGGCTTCCAGAAGCCTGCCATGTGTTCCAGGGAGACAAGTGTGATGAAGTGTGGTAAGTGCAATCATAGACTTGCAAGGTACAGCAGGATGCAAAGGAGGATGAACATTCTAGGGAAAGAGGAATGAGAAAGGTTTCATAGAAGGGCTCTAGAATGGAATCTAGGAAAGATTTCCAGCTGATCGGGGACATGACAAAGATCTCCCATTTTAGTGACAATGTTGGGGAACAGATTGGACAAGGAAGAGCTTGAAAGTTGGAAAATTATTTGAAGGTTATTTAAGAGACTGTTGCAATGATTTAGGCAAGAGGTGATAAGTGTCTATCCGAGGACAGGGTGGGAGGCACAAAAGAGATTTGATAGAATTTTTGCGATAGGATGGGACAGTGGGAGGTGAGGAAAGTTGAGTGAAGTTTCCTGTTTTGTTTGGAGTGCCTGGTAAATGGTGCCGCCATTAAAGGAAAAGAAGACGCAGGTGAGTTGGATGAGAGTCGGGGAGACACTGGGCTCGCTGTGGGACTTCCTGAACTTCAAGTGCATGTGGGGACATCATTCATTCATTGGAAATCCAAGTTTGTAGTTTGAGAAGGGGATCCAGGCTGGAAATGGAAATGTGAGTGACATCTAACAATCTGGAAGCATGATTTTATTAAAAATAGTTTGGGTTTTCTGTTTATGGTGCTTGACAGATGACTAGTGCTTCAAAAGCATATAGTGTTTATTTGAAAACATAGTTTTTGGGTAAATTCCAGTGGCTTCCAGATCATGGCTTTTTTCTCTAATGGTGTCAGTGTTTGTATAGGCGGTTGGGCATGTGGCAAGAGGCAGAACACACTGAATATGGCCTACAAGTTGATCCTTAGGGTGTTAACATTGCCACTGGAAGTGTGCCTTGCCTTTTCAGGATCAGAGAGTTTTGAAAAACACTCTGATAAACTATGAAAAGCTGTGAAGGTGTGCTTAATCTTGGAATACTATAAAATGAAGGCACTTTCTCAACAGTGCTTTATTAGGCCCTGGGCAGCTGGTAAAAATGGGAAAGGCCTATTGTCCTTTAAGACATAAAGTGGAAGTTTCAGGAATACCTCTCTGTGTCCTTTGTGTCTGGGAATCAAACCAGACTCTGACCTTAACTGTGACCTAAACTGTAGCCTTACCCCTAACTATCCCCCAACCCTAATCCTAAGTATAACACTAACTCTAACATGAATCTACATCCACAGCCAAAATCTACCCCTCATCTTAAGCTGAATTTAACTATAACACTAACCACAAAGCTAATTGTAACCCCAACTCTAAGCCTCAGTATAGCACTAACCCTAACTCTAGCCTTAACCCTAGAACTGACTTTTTTAGGGTAGACTTATTAGTGGAAAGTGCTCCTTAGGTCTGTAGTAACTAGATAATCAAAACTGGGGAACGCATTTCAGATTAAATGAGTAATTTATAAGTAGGTCATCAGCAGACCATCTTTAACAACATACCTTGATTAGGTGACCTGGCCTTTCTGATAAAGATACCTAAAGGCCTGGGTATTATGCTGGATGTCTACAGGACATCCCTGCTTCTCTTGCTGATTTCAGTAAGTACTTAATAATGGTTGTTGTGAAAATTCAGTGAATATCTCTGAAGGGCAAGGCACAGACAGAGTATATTTTCCACACTTCACGAAGGTTTACCTTGATCTCAGTCTTCTGGGACTCCCAAAAGTGTAAGATTTTCCTACTCCAGACGACTTCCAGAAGGCTGGGGCTCTTCCATTTATACCTAGATCCCAATGTGACCCAAATCTAGACCTTACCAGCTAGACAGCATCTGTATTAGCCCCACAGTCATTAAGATAAGGTGCATTGTTAGGCTGTGGGGTTATAGAAGAAATGTAAGACATGCTATTGAATTCAAACCTCACAGCCAAGGTGACAAAGAATAACCAACATGCATAAAATAAGGAGCGAGTATGATGGGACAGGATGTAAGTCAGTGCTCCATTATGTGGCACAGACCTGGACACTGAACTGGTTCAAAGGTAGGTGATATTTCCTGTCATTTGCAAAGCACTTAGCAGCTTACCTAAACTGTAACACCCGTTCACTCCTTCCTAGGATCCTGAGAGGTCGATATAGGGCCAGGTATTAGTATAATCTTTCATATTTGCGTATGCAGAAATAGGCTCAAAGGAAATAATTATTTCCTGCCAAATTTCCCAGCAAAACTAGCAAAGCAGAGTTCTGAACTCAGGTCAACCAACTTCAAACCCAATGGGAGGCTCCCTTTATTTCTTGGAGTAATGAAACTAAACCGGGCCTTAGAGGACTGAGTAAGGTTTGCAGAGCTGAGCGGAAACAAAAGAATATTCTGGATGGGTGAGTCCTATAAGAAGAAGGCAGGAAGCCATGGAGGGGATAGTGAGCAGACAGATTGGGTGGGAAAGGGGGGCTTTGAGAACCAGGCAAAGGTGCTTGTATTTCAGGTAGGGTTTCAGTAAGAAGTCAGTGACATTTCTGAACTAGATAGTTGTGTAAAGAACGATCCACCGGATAGTGATTTGCAGGGACGATTAGAATAAGGAGGTCTCAGAGACAGGAAGGCCGTCTGGGTGGCTTTGGGGCATGGGTACAAGGAAGGGTCTGGAACAGGGTGGCAAAGGTTAATAAAAGCCAAAATAAATGGGGGTTTTAAAAAAGTAAATTCAAAAGGAAAGACTTAGTGTGTGCGCATGAGAGATGGAGGAAGTGAAAAAAAATCAAAGAATTACAATTTTCAAATAACAAGTTACGTGGCCCCAGATGAGTCATAGAATTTCTCTGGGCCTCTCATCTGAAGAAAATGTAATGGCAGCCCTCACCTCACAGATGACTGAAACCCTTTATTTACATGCAGAACTGCTGGATGGATCATTGCTTTAATGAAGAGGGACAATCTAAAAGTGTCTAGAAAGATACTCTCAATATCATCTTTTAAAATAATAAAAAATTGGGAAATGTCTAAATGCTCCAGAATGGGGAAAGAAGTAAATAAATAATGATTATTATGTAGAAATCGAAGTTGGGGACATACATATTCCAAATACAAGGTTTGGTGGAGAAAACAGGATGCAATACTATCTATTATTAAAAATAAATATCTGAATAGAAAAAAGGACCAGAAAAAAAACCATTTTCTCTGTGTTAATTATCTCTATGATTATTATCTCCGATAACTATCTCTGTGACTCTCATTACCAGAGCGATTATCTCTGGCTGATGGTCATGAGACTGATTTGTGTTATCACTTTTGTACTTTGTACCTTTCTGGAATTTCCAAATTTTGTGTAATGAGCCTTTATTCTTTTATAATGAGAAGAAAAATATTTAGGAAAAAAGAAAAAGAAATGAGATCAATTCTACTGTTGAAAATCTGTAAATGTGTTGTGTCCCTTATAATCGTTCTCCAAGTAAAATAGCATATCATACGTGGTGGGGTGGCACCCTTCTCTGACTTAGAAAAGATGAGTGGAGTGGAGTGGATTCTGAGACATGGCAGAGGCAGGTGCCCTTCATGGGAAACGGGCACTAGAGCTGAAGAGGATGTGCCACAGCAAAGGCACAGCAGAGGCATAGGCCTCCTCACTGCAGGGAAACCAGAGGACTTCTCTTCACAACAGTCTGGTCTTTGGAAAATGTTTACTGCTCAGATAAATACAAAAGCAAGTCCGGAAGCAGGTAAGGATGCCTGTGTCACAGTCACAAACAATGTGTCATTGTACGCAGAATTTCATCAGGCATGCTAACCCCCGGCGGATGCTGGCCAGGATCCCTCTTGGTTCTTCACTGCCTGCAGAATGTGCCCAGTGAATGGGTGTCAGGCACAAGTGAGAATCGGCCACCAATGACATCATGAGACATTTATGCATTTATGTGGGAATTCTCCATAGATTTCTATGTAACTAAACAAAATATTTCTAGGAAATAAGGCCACAAATGTGCCCTGGAGGAAAATAATAATTGAAAAACCAATAGAATAACTATCCTGTAATTTTGATACTGATATTGATCCAGGGTAATTTCTAGTTTGGCGCTTAGGGGATAGATAATATGTAAGGCAGTGTATGGGAACCCAGTCTTTAGCAGATTTTTCTGCTAAACGTGCTATTTCACATGACCCTGTGCTCTCACTGACCTTGAAACAATGGGAATCATCTTTAACAGATAAGCTCTGACAAATGGAGCATTTCTGTTCATTGATCTTTGAGTTTATGTTACGTTTACCTGTCATCGTCATTTTCCAAGCTACTTAAAGTGCTGGAAACTCTCCCCAGATATTTTTTCTCTTCCCTACAATTTACAGTGATATGTTACATTGCCCGCGTTTACTGGTACTGTCTGTTGTGGCTGTCACATTACCTTATCACAGGTGAAGCACACCAGGGTATACCTGGGAAAGGGTTAGAGTTCACAAGATGCAAAGCCCCCTAAGCCCCAGTAAATGCCAAATCTGAGGGGTCAGGGTGCAGCCTCTCTGTCTGGCTTTCTTTGGGGTCAGCTTCTTGGACGTTGGGTAGACCCGCATGTGCTACTTGTCTTGGCTGTGCCCGCATTTGTGAAAATGGCATAAATCAAAGTAGCAAATAGTGAGAAAACCTGAATTTCTCACAACCTCTTGCCATGCCCTGTGTTTGTGATTCCTGCCTGTATTTTATGTGCCAAGTGAGCAAAACTGCTTCATATAGAGATGGAAAATTTTTCTCAGGTATAAGATAGTTTTCAATGTGGGTTGTAAAAGTAAATATCCTAAGATTGTTTGCTTATGGTATCACCATAGAGCATGCCAGAAACCTTGGGAAAACAAAAATCTATGCATTTATACTAATTTTTTTTAAGTTGAACCTCATTAGAGTTTGTTTGTATCATTAAAATGTGTATGAGGAGGAAGGTAATATAGCTGGGGTTGAAAGATAGAGGATGATAACAGAATGGAACCTTTTGACCTTATTTATAAAAGTGAAATAAGCTGAGATGGCTTTTCACTTGCAACCCTCCCATCCTGTATTTTTAACTTGAAAGACTGTTAAAATAAACTGCAGGTTACCACCCTGTGTATAATCGTGTGACATCTTGGGCTCTGTAAGAGGCCACCGCTTCTCTGACTTTTGCTAACAGGGCACTTCTGTGGTGAGCTTCAGGTTAAAGGTCAGAGCTGAAGGGTCCCGTTTCCCTCCAGCTCCCTTTCTCTGATTGTTATGTTCACACCATTGAGAAACTCACTCTTTTGACAGATATATCCAAGCAGAGAGCACATGGCCTTAGCTATATCTATTTGAAGAAACTTAAATCATTTTGCAACTGATGATTCTCATTTTGCTTGATACGTGTACATTTCACACATTTTCCTTGACAAATAAACCAAGACTGTGATTTTCGTCGTGGCCTGCAGTGTAGAAGAGAAGGAGGGTGAGGAAGAAAGTAACTGTAAGATTGTAAGGAGGAGGGGTGGGGACTGTTGCCCCTGGCACCAGCAGCTTGACTGAAGGCTTCTGTATTTAAGTCCCAGACCCAACCTCAGAGCAAAGAGGAGCGTCTCCAGGGCCTGAGCAGATGCACCTGGTAGGTCAGTGACTGGGGCTGGACTTCCATATGAAGCAGAATACCGGCAAGGATATATTTTAGGAAGAAGTGTTTGGGTCCTTAAAAATTTTTTCTATAACCATGAGTATGTAAAAATAAGAATTCTCACATGGTGGGAGAGGTGGTCTGGGCTCTTTTGTTTGGCTGCTGTGGGGTATGTTTTCTTTTGGGGAAGGGGAGTCAGAAAAATATGCTTGGTTTTACCATCTAAATCTACTCATAGAATCAGATTGCCAGGGGCTTGGAATCTCAGGATCTAGGCACATGATGGCCACTGAATTATGCTTTTCTTTCAGTATAATCTGAAACATTGACTCGCGGAAGTTGTGTTCATGAACACACACTAAGGGTGATCTTATTGAAAAGCCTAAATCTTTCCTGATCTAAAAAGATCTAGTTCCATTTTTTTAAAACCTTTGCTTTTTGCCCTCCATGTAATAACATCCTTAGTGTTACAGAGACAAAACTGTAACCAAAGCACTGGGCTGATGACAAATACATTACAAAGAAAACCTATAATCAGGAAAAATATTTGAAGAAGATGTCACCTATTTCTAAAGAAAACCTGGGCATTTAAACTGCAAAAAACAAGTAGAAAAGGTAACTTTTTACTTTCTACTCATCCATAAAAATTGTCTTAATTTTTGTAATCGTACCCACTAAATTGGCTGTTTATATTGTCCTTTACTATCTTCAAGTGAGGAAATGCCTAAACGTGCAACCACTGTGGTTTGTGGAATGTCGAGGGGAAACCTGTCGGCCAGAGCGAGCAGCTACCACCCCGGGGTGGGCACGTTCCCTCTAAAGGCAGCTGATGCTTACACAAAGAGCAGCTGCAGGTCAGACTCGTCTCTCCTCTTACAATCCTGAGATGCGATGTTTCCCCTCCTCTGCCCTGGGGATTTCACTTCCTCGAGGTGAGGGAGGGATGGAGCCTTCTCAGCCTCTGTTCTGGATATTCTCTGTCTGTGAAGAGTGGGGAAAGAAATCCCCAGAAGGGATCCTGGCCAAGGTAGAGACCCTACGGGGACCCATGGGACTCTAGAGGGTCTGTCCCTGAGTGGGGGGGCCTCTGAGGCCTATGAACCCTGCAATTTATGCAGAATTGCTGGTCGGAGAATCAGCCTTTGCATAAGGAGGATGTTGAAGGAAAGCAGGAGCGGAAAAGGAGAGACAAGTCTGACCCGCAGCAGCCCCCGCACTCTGCACTCAGGGTCTGCGTGACAGCAGAGGCCGATTCCAGACCTCTCTGCTCTGGCTTTGTACAGATGTCTGTGTGCAGAGAGGAGGGAACATTCTGCTCTCTGTAGGCAGACCCGGGTCAGCCAGGGCAGTCTGCAAATGCTGTGGTTGGCTTAGTCTTGCTCAAGAAGTGATGGAGGGGGTGAGGGCTATGAGAGAAACTGAGGCTAACCTGGGCAGCTCAGGTTGCTCCAGGAGGCTGAGATGAAGACTCAAGTGGAGGGCGAGGGCACTGGAGCATTAGGATCCCAGTGAAGAACAGGTGTGGTGTCCAGGACAAGGAAGTCGGACGTTAGAAGTGAAGGTGGGGAGAGGCAACGGGGCAGAAGGGGCTGCTGCAGGGAGGGAATCATGGTGAGTGGCTCTGGGACGGCTCTGCTAACAGAAAGTGCACTGACATGCCGGATGACCGGCCGTGGTTGCCTAAAGGGGCTGCCATACGTTGGGCCTGTTGTTTGCCCTATACCATGGGGAGGCAAGCTGGCTGAAATCAAGTATTGTGGGCTGAAAGTTACCTTCAGTACTATTACTCTTAACTGCCGTTTAAGAACCAACTGTTCTTAAAGTTAAGAACTATTCCAACTCCTCATTTCATACACATAAAAAGGGAAGCCCTGAGATTAATCCAAGATTTTGTAGCTGACAGCTGGTCAAGTCAGCAGGGCCTCTGTGCCCCTCCCTGGCCCACCAAGGGGCTGGCTTGCACACCCCTTCCCCTGGTCCAGAGATCTCCAGCTCTGATCTTGAGCCATCAGACTGTGACCTTCTCATTGCTGACATTATCAACTTGGGCCAATCATATTGTGAAGCCTAAAATTTCAAATACTGCCCTGACATCTTTGAGCCCAGGGCCTGCAGGCCTAATCATGAGTTACCCTGCTTTCATCAGATAGGCCTCCCTCCCAGCGGAGAGGCCCTATGCCCTGGTTCCCCTATCCCTTGGACCAGCTGTTCTCCACCTGGTCCTCAAACTTAACAAGGTCACTTCCCTGCCAGCCTGCAAAAGTACTCAGACAAGCCGGGCACATCCTCCTGCAGGAACCAGGCACCACACCCTCTCATTACTGCAGAGCCTGACTCCCACAGCTTCTGCGGGCTCAGGCTGCTCTTGAGTGCAGGCCCCCTGAGGCCCCGCACAGCCAAGGTGCCTTCAGCCCTGAGCTGTCGGTCCCTGTGGCCGATGAGCCACTGCCCATCACAGCGTGCAGTGCAGAGCACCTCGTGTTCAGCCAGCTCTAACCGCTCAAGGCAGGGATCCCGCCCTCATCAGTGAGTGACTCGGAGGTGATCAGGTCAGGCCCCTCATTTCCCACCATTTTAGCTCCTGAATCACTACCATTCTTTTCAACACTCTCCCCACATGAATCATGTATGTGATCCTTCCAGTGTCCTGGTCTGCCAGTTCCTCAGTCCTGTTCCCCAGGGGTCCTGTCCTCTGCTGACCTCAGCCCCTCACTTTCACATCATTACCGATCTCTCCTGCCTTCCATGGTCTTCTTTTCACGCACTCCCCTGACAGCCTCCATCTCCCGGCTCCCCACTTCACTCCTTCTAAACTTCCATTCCAACCGTCCTTTGACCCCCCGGGGACCTTCATTCCGTCGAC